AATAATTCGTATTAAACGGTGAAAAGATTAATGTGAACGTTTCAAACAGGTTTTCATTTAATATGAGTAAATTTAAAATATAAAATGTAATTATGGCTTTGAAAATAAATTTAAATAATAATTTCATTACAGCTTACGATGAATTTCTAGAACAGAGTTGTATAAATTGCCCGGTAAAACTTATATAGTGTGTGGCGCCATCTCTTACGATATTTTATTTTGAAATTTTTTATATTAATAATTATCATAAAACTAGAAGATGAGCCCGGCGTTGTTCGGGCAAAAAGTAACCATAGCGAAAATTAAGATTATTAGTTATATCCAGTCTTATTCGTTTTCTCCGGGTGCAAGAATTCACCTGGAAAAAGAGTTCACCCTCCTTCGAGAATAATTTGAGAATTTTTAGATACTCGAAAATATGCTTGATTTTCTACAAAAACGTAGAAACCCTCATCTAGAATATTACAGTAGAAGCAGACTTTTTCAGGATAATCGCTTTCCCTCCTCCCAAGGGAAGGAATTTCCAAAAATCTTTTCTTAGTGTACGTTCTCACGACGGATCTTAAGTGTGTACCAAATTTCAACTTTTAACTCCTAACCGTTTGGGCTCTGCGCTTATAATTATTATTAATATTATCAACCCACTTAAATTATATTATAAGATAAAATAAAAGGATGTTAACAATAGAGATGTTTCTATAAAACAAAATTACAAATTTTAATATAGAGTGAAATCTTTATTAAGTCAGACTCCTTTCGAATATTGTCACATGGCTTTTTCTCTGTCCTCATTCGTTGACACTAAACCATCGACGCGTCAATCCTCTCGTACAAACGATCCACTTTTCAAAATTTCAAAAATTTCGAAAAACTTATTAAGTAGATAAGTTATAAGCACAGTAGTTATTAAGCTTCAAAGTGGATAAGCAAACTAGTTCCTTTCCTTACACTTTCCTTACACTCATATATATATATATATATATATGAGTGTAAGGTATATATATATGAGTGTTTATATATATATATATATACAAAACTTGGCATGTTTTTCGCATTTTTCGACGTTCGATGGTTCTCTGAGTTAAAAAAAGGTAATAATTCCGTAGATTTTTGTTTCACTGATCACCATTTTTTACCTCTGTTTTATATTATAACGAGGATAGAAAAGGCAGTAGAAAATTCAGTTATAAGTATAGAAGGTGGAGTTTTGTCTTTCCCAGATATAATTATCTTCAATCATTTTTAATAAATAATAATTTCAATAAAATTTATTCACTTCAAAACAGGTTTGCAGCATGCCATACGATCAATCCAACGTTACATTTAAAACAGAGGGAAATAATTCTAGATATAGTGGAAAAGTAACTTTTTATACAGGAAGATAATACTTCTTCAATATTTAAATAAAGAAATTAAAAATACGAAATGTTCGAAAAATATTTATAAAGTTAATATTAAAGTACTCAAACACATTTTATAGAAAAACGTACAGTACACGAGTAAAAAAACTTATAATTGCATAAAAAAAGTGTAAATGTTATACAACAGAATTTGTTTGTTTGTGACTATGACAAATTCAACGTAATTATGCGATGAATTTACAAATCTTTCGACACTATTTCCGTACGATCATTCTATAAAGAAATCGAACATTTATTGTGACGTCGTCGTAATTCCGGACTGCAATTTTATTAATATTTCGATTTAATAAATTTATCTGCAAAATGAGTTATGATATACATTANATTATGCGATGAATTTACAAATCTTTCGACACTATTTCCGTACGATCATTCTATAAAGAAATCGAACATTTATTGTGACGTCGTCGTAATTCCGGACTGCAATTTTATTAATATTTCGATTTAATAAATTTATCTGCAAAATGAGTTATGATATACATTATTTAAATTGTTAAACGTAAAATCATGTAAGTATTATTCACATTATATGCTATAGTATTAAAGGATTGGCGAACGATTGTCGTAAGCATCTATTCTATACCCTAATTAACGCTGTATATAAGAAGCCAACTTCTTTCAATTAAAACAGCTTCACTTACGCTTCAAATGTGAAGTTTGTATCAAAAGCTTCAGTTCCCTCATCTTTCTGCACGTGGTCTCAATTTTCATGGATTTAACTCCATTCTCTAGATTAACGAATAAACAACGACAGTGGAAATATGTAAGATTGAAATTTGAAAATGTCAGATAAATAACATTTAATTTTCTAAAAACTAATTATGTGATTAATTTTAAACTAATTATAAATTATCGTACGAACGGAATTAAGAATATAAAAGTGTTATTAAAATGGCATTTAATAAGAGTTCGAGGAAAAACCTTTTAAAATTTAATCACCATAAAAAACATTGCGTGGAAGGTTACCACGAAACTACGTCATCCACGAGTAATTCTATTGTTGCTGAACACAGTATAAGTTCCACTTGAGAGAGTCACACACGTGTGTAGAATGCTATTGTTTTAATTCTTTGTAATACCGGTAGTAAAATTATTCGGTAAGTAATAATTAATATACTGTATATCGAATTCGATATATTTAAATTAATATATATCGTGAAAAGATTTATATCATGTAGTAATATAATAGTTTCTCTTAACTGTAATTAATGTGAAATTGTAAAATATTTACTTGTTTTTGTGCTATATCTGACGAAAAACCTTAATTGTGCACGTAATAAAGCAATTATTTTCGCTTTGACGTTGCTGTAGGGTTAGTATGCCGGATAAGAAAAAATAGTTAACTCCTTATCAGGGATGACCTAGTGGCACTCTACTACGCGGGTGGTGTGGTAGGAGGCAGAAAATACAAAAGTGCCTTACAAAATCATTTATTAATACAAATTTTCTTACACGGATAAAACGAGTATTTGCCGGATGACAGAAAGATTTATCAAATGTTTCGAACGATCGAATGTACTGATTTTCTATGCAAGTTTCGTCTGTCGGGCGACCCCCGGGCAGCGACGAGTTGGTAGCTGATGGAACTTTCCTAGTACACACGGAAATTTCGTCGAACTCATTTCTTTTGACGACGGACATTTTAGTCACCTCGGAGAAATGAGGTGACTAAAATGAAAATATTCGCTGTATGTCTTTGTACGTCTGAGTTTTTATATAATTTTTGTCCGTGTATATTCTATTGTTTAGATAACTCTTTTCCTGCTCTCTGATTTGTTTCTCACTTCTCTCCAGGTGGAAAATTGAGATCTGTTCTGGAATCAAGAAACATAGGGATAGTCTAGCATCATTTCGACTCTGACTGAGATTACCGACAGAACAAAGACACCCGCGCTACTACTGTAGTTTTTATTATCAATCACTTTTATTGCGTTCTAAAATTATAAACTTTATCTACATTTTTGTTTATTAATCCTTCTCCTTTTTCCGGTCGTATATCAGAGGGTTTATTAAAGTCCGGGTGCAAAGCTGGGAAGTTGTATTGTTAAATTTTTAAAAAATTGCTTAAGCAACGTAGTAAATTCGCAAGATTACTTTTGTTATTATAATTTTTCAAAGACTGATAATGACCGTTATTACTGATAGCATTCTCTTCCTTAAATCGTGAAAACAATGAACAATGATAAATATTTCCACATCATTTTCTTTCAAATTTCTGCTACCGAATTAACTTCCTTCATCGAAAAAAGACATGCGCTACGAACGGGAAATAATTAAAGTTTCGAGAACTTTTTTATTAGATTAAAATAAAAAATAATATAATATTGAAAACTACACTAAAAAATAAAAAAATGTTTTTTTTTTAATATTTACAACTGTAATTAATAAACAAATGGTCAACGTGTAAATTAAAATCCGTTTGCTCCCATGAATGAAGAGAATTAAACAACAAATCAAAAGTAAACAACTTATTGAACAAATAATAACCACTTTCCAAAAGAATTAAAGCCTTCAACTGTTTTGTTTCACTATGTTTCGTATTACACACTATAAATACAGTAGACCCTCCTATAACACTGTTGATAATTCCGAATATATGAATTACATATTGTACGAGTCACTTAGATTTCAAAAATACGTGAGACGTTCACAACCCGTCACATATATTTGTAAAATGTAAATGACTCGTACAACATGGAATTCACATAACTTGGAATTATCAAGACTGTTATAGGAAAGGTCTACTGTAAAGTGAATCTGAAATTAGGACGATAAAAGAAATGAAAATACATGTACTTTACAGGTTACTTTGTACGCATAATTGCTCAAAAAGCGATATATTTCACGCGCTTTACTTCAAAACAAATTTTATGTTGGAGAATTTCAAATAGTAAATTTTTTCAATTTAAACCCTGCGAAAGTAAACTGGGGATTTTCGGTACATGAATTATTTTAAAACTTGCAATACATAGATTTTGCATCTAATATCCGTTTTCCCTTCGGTAGTTTCGTGATTTTATGTGTACAGCATGCTCACAAATTGCTTCAGTATTGCGGCAATCCCCAAAAGAGAAAAACGACATTTCTCAGCGTGGAGGCCCCACAGTACTAACCACGTTTTTTTTCAAGATTTATAATCATTTATTTAGTTTTTGTTTAACTTAAGTTAATATAACATAATATAACTTAACATCACATTACGTAACCTAGCTTAGTCTACCTTAATCTAACATAACTAATTTATATGTGCTGAAAATAGCTTTATAGCCTGTTCAAATAAATAATTTTGCCATCGTTTTAGTCTCATAGTTTAATTCAGATATGTCAAAATTGTGTATAAAGGTTGTATTAGACAACTATTTTTCACCAAATCAGAAATATACGTTGGAGTTTGATGACCAAAGATGTTTCTGCTGGAGAAATAACAGAAACTACTTAAAGATTTGCTTGAATTGAAAAATTTCAACACAGTCAACCAATGAAGCATTCCCCAAATAGAAGAAATCACGTCATACAGAACAAATGCAATTTATAAAAGAGTAAACTGGCTCGGAAATTTTAACACTTTATTGATTTACTTTTAAAGGTGAATGGTACTTCATTCAATCTGATAGGGCTCGCCGTCGTGGACCACTCAATAGTGCAAAGACAATTCAGAATTTTTTAAGTTCAAGATAACAATGAATAAACAGGTAAAAACCATTTCACCTAAACTAAGCGTTTGAATTGCGTATGCTAAAGTAATTAATATTTAAATTTTTTAGGTAAGAAGACACGATTCTTCAAAGAAAACGAAATGTTTGTGTCTGACAAACAGCTTATCCAATATAATTGGTCGACTTGGTGTAGTAATTAGTCGATATCCCATCTATTTTGTTATTATTCCTGTCATTCTCTCCGGTTTATTATCAAACGGACTTATCAGGCTTCAAACCAATGAAGACATCGATTTTCTCTTAACTGCAGACAGTGGTAAATATTTTGAAGCCAAACAGTTTATAGATAAGACATTTGATACCAATTCGGGTAGTTTCGATTTTTTACGACTTACTAAACGACCGCTTTTTCCAATGATTTACATAGTAAATGACAGAGAAAGCAACATTTTACACAAAAAGTTCTTAAACGAAATACAAATTGTAGATAAGGTTGTAAAAAATACCACAGCTTCTGTAGATGGAATAAATATTGCTTACTCGGACGTGTGCTACATTGAAGATGGCAAGTGTTTAGAAAATACTCTTATTGATCTGCTAAACGACTCCGAAAATGCTATTCATGAAATATTAAAAATGAAGTATCCTGTTACTATGGATCCTCTAACATACGCGTACAAAATCCTCTGTCTGAATTTAGGAGGGGTGACGACAGAGACAAAGGATACATAAAGGAAGCAAAAGCCGTTCGTTTAATGTATCCAACAGACGAATCGAATGCAAGTAAGAAAAATTGGAATGAAGAATGGAAAACAGCAGTTTACAACAAGTTAAGAAATTATACTTTCGAGCATATTAAAACATTTCCTGAACCAATCGAGTCTTCCATTTTTGAACTAAAACGCATTTCACAGGAATTAGTGTCTTTGATAAGTGTAGCTGTGGTCGTCGTTGCCATTTTCTCCATGGCGACGAACATGACAAACAATTGGGTGAAATCCAAACCCTGGTTGGGCGTAGCTAGTGTCGTGTCCGCCGGTTTGGCTGTGGCCACAACGTTTGGTTTATTATCCGCCTGTGGAGTACAAAATCTTCGGTGGAACGTCAGTCTTCCTTTCATGATACTTGGTAAGCTAAACCATAATATAATTAAAATATTAATAAATTTCGCTTTATATATTTTTATTGCTTTGATATATTAAAGCTACGGAAGTGGACGACTCGTTTGTCGTATTGGCTTGTTGGAAGGTAACAAACTGCAGTGACAGCGTAGAAAAGCGAATAGAACAGACGACAGACGTATCGCAACGCAGCAGTGTCCATCACCATAACGTCTCTAACGAATTTCTTCTCCTATTGCATTGCCATGACATCACCATTCCCGGGTATTAGAATATTCTGTTTGTATGCTGCAACGAGCATCTTCTTCAGTTATTTCTATCAGTTATTATTTTTCGGCGGATGTTTAGCATTGAGTGGCTACCGTGAAGAAAAGGGCCTTCATCCTTTCACATTTAAACCAGTTTTTGGTAAAAATTTTAAAATTATTTAACTTAAATTTTATAATAATGATATAAGTTTAAACTCTATTGAAAATTGAAAATTATTAAAATAGTTAACATTATGTTTTAAATGTTTTAATTATAACTTTTCTTATATTTTTTTCAAATACGGAAATATTTAAACTAAAAGGTATTTGATTTTGAAAGTCATGATTTTGCAGTAAATGTGACAACAAAGAAATACAATTGATTTCCATAATACGTACTTATTGGTTTTGTTATACGTGGTATAGCCATCGGTCGATCGATAAACGACCTTTTAAAATGTTTATACTTTTCGACTCAGGAGACCGTGAAACGTAGAGGAATGTGAGAAATTCCAATTGTTTTCTATATATCGTTCAATCTTATGTTAGGAAACGATTATTTTAAATTCTATTTGAAACTGACATGTCTCTTACTTTCTTAGAAAAATGTCTTAAATATTATAAAAGATTTAAGTATTTGGGGGATAAATGGCAGTAAATTTTGTTTATTAGATGTCCAGGGTGAGGAAATAGATGAATTCGTACAGCATGTCTGGAGTAATTCGTTCTTAAAGACTAATTTAGTCGTTATTATAATGTACAATATTTTTATAAAACTTTTTCCTACACTAAAAATTCAGCTTTTCTTCACTTTATAATAATTAATGATAAAAAAATTTTATAACAAAAAATAATAACAGAGCGCGTTACGTTCATTTTTAAATCACACCGAAAAAGTTAAGCAACTCATTGCCGGATTTTCTTTTATAGTTTTCACAATGAATATTGCTTTTTAATTAATGATGTGATTTTAAAAAATATGGTAAACATAGCCAAATGAGAAAGCGAAAATTTTTTCGGCCCATACAGTCTTTACATCTGTCATTTATCAGTATAACAAAAGAGAAACAACAGGCGTATTCTAATGTCACGTATTTAATGTTAATGTTTTCATATGTTCGTTTCCGCCTAGAATAAATGCAACCGGACTGATGTTTGTTTCATTTAAACAAACAATCAATAGACTATCTAAACTAATCTGGTCTCATCTTATGTCCTGGAATGTGAGAAGACTTAGCAACAGAATCCCAAACAACTGTCAAAATACATAACTTAATAAATTATATAAAACTTTATATAAAACCCATATTATTAAATATTTGCAATTAATTAAGACGCTTCTAATTTAAGTAGAACTGAGAGAAAATTCGGTTTTATTATTACCATATGTACTCACTTTGAATTCACATTTCGAGTATGTTGCCAGAAATATGTTTTCATCCTCTGCTAGATTCTGAGATCCTGTAATCGACAACATTCAAAGAGGCTTTTGTTACAGTGAACAATGGATACAGGCGTACAAACACTATAATTATAATCAAACACTATATTATAATATACTGGAAGCGTTAAAAGTACGAAAAAATCTAATAATCTTAATGTTTCTTGTTATTTTTGCTCATCTGCTAGTGTTCTATATAATTTTTTGAAAAATTTCGCTTCATGATTCTAAATTCATTTACATTATTTTAAATTCAAAAATCTCATTTCATTACAATATTTATATTCTAAAAAGATATATATAGTGAATATGAAGAATTTGTAAAACTATATACTATTAAATCTTGGTTTTACAGTTGTCATTATAGCGAATATTCGTAACTAATATGATATTCAACGTTCAATATTATATGTTTTTAATTACTTTTACTTCTACGTGATTACTGTTATAGTATTTTTGTTTGGATATTGGCTACTTACTCTTCTTTATAAATAAGAATCGTTATAATAGTGTAGTTTCTAATTAACAAAGAGAAAAAATTTGAGTCGAAAAGATTTTGCTAATCAAAAACTACACCAGGAAAAAATGGCTACGTCCTATGTGGCAGCATTCAGGGACCGCGTACGTGAATGCGCTTCCAAGCCAAGAGGACAAACCGGTTCAAGCAAATCGTGTGTCCGGAGTGACCACATTTAGGGTGTAGCGACCACCAGATAACGCTTCTACACGAACGTGCAGGTTGATTGTGGCTTTCAGTGCTCGCGCTTTCAACGAATAAAATAACTGATTTTAAGATGAATGTAGACAAAATGACAAATAAATGGTGTATATAGTTTAATTAATAATTTCATGTAATTTAATAATTTCTTATTTTTTTAAAATAGAATGAAACTTTTTTAATTTATTATTCTATAAAGATTCTTTATATTTTTGTAACTAGTTAGTGATAACAATTAACTGTGAAATTTAACGTTTTAATCCTTGTCAAATTTCTGTATAATTATGCTTTACATTATTATACTCTTAATCATAATTTAAATGATAAGATTTCTTTATTGTTATAAAATACCATACAAATGAACTTAATTCATCTATAGAATATATTTTCATTTTACAGAAACTATTGGACAAACTGACTGTTACGAAGAAGAAAGTGAGGACTGTTTTATGAAATTCTTCAGAGATACATTTTCATCTTTTCTTTTTTATCCTGTATCACGAATTCTAATTATCTTATCGTATTTTATATTATTGTCGATAGGTATATGCGGTATTATGTCCTTAAAGGAGGGGCTGAATGTGTACAAATTCAATTCAGAAAGCTCTGAAATTACACGGGGATTTCATGTTTTCTACAAATATTTTACAGAATACCCTTTTGCGGTGCACGTCGTAATTAACGAAACTTTAGATTATTCTAATCCACGAGTTCAATTGTCAGTTAATGATTTCATGAAAAAATTTTACACTATTGAAAATATAGCCGGATACGAGTAGGAATTTTCTTGGTTAAAATATTACAAAATATTTCAAAATCATTCTATTTCGAAGTATTCCTTGAGAGGTTACGATCTGTCTCAGAAACAGGATTTCATGGATGCTCTTAGAAACGTCTTCTTAAAATTCATAGGAACCAAGCAATTTAAGAATGACATTATCTTCAATCACAATTACACTGATATTGTGGCCAGTCGTTTCTTATTCTCAGCGAAAAATGTTTCGGACAGAGTAACGGAATTCAAAATAGTAAACGATTTATCGAGAATAGCCGAAGAAGCGCCCTTTTCCATTGTAATCCATACAGTAATAACACCTATGGCCGAGCAAGGAATTGTCATCAGACAGATAACGTTTCAATTGTTTTGGATCACTTCCCTGTTAATATTCGGCATTTTTGTTTCTTTAATTCCCAATTTGCATTGCGCTGTTATCGTCGCTATCTGCGTCGTGTCCATCACCGTGCAGACGATCGGATTCATGTCTTTATGGGCAATCAATTTAGATATTGTGTCTCTGATTAGCTTGACTCTTTGCATCGGGTTCTGTGTTAATTACCCCACTCACATATGCTATTCTTTCATTACTTCATTACAAGTAACGACTGAAGAAAAGTTAAAGGATAGTTTATGTCACGTAGGTTTCCCGTTAATTCAAGGGGCAATTTCTACTGGTTTAGTATTGTTAGTCATCGCCTATTATAATACATTTGTATACACCACTTTTGTTAAAATCGTTTTCGTAATTGTACTGCAATCGGTATTTCACGCATTACTTCTTATTCCTACAATAATCTGGATAACTTCTCTTTGTTCAAGAGCGTGTCAAAAAATCAGAGCATCCATGCCTTTTGGGTGCACATAGGTGTTATCATTGATAATGCACTCGTAAATTTTTCTTAAACTCAATTATTATTAATGGGCTTATATTAATGAAGATCAATAATTCTGGAATTTGTTTTGACGGTTTAAAGTATTCCAGGTGTTTGAAAATTATTTCTTAATGAGTTAGAATATTGTAGATGTGCTTTTTAATAACAGAAAATTATATATTTCCGACTGGATTGAGATTATAAAGTAAAAGTTGCTTTGGCAGCCAAACATTTTTTCGCAGCAACGATCTAATAAAAATGAAGTAATTGATTGAATTAAATTTCTTTTTAAGATCACTCACTCGCTATTACGTAGAATTATAATAGCAATGTGTTATAAATAATTTGAGAATTTGTTTTCAATAAAAATATGTTTAGATTAAATTGGTGCAATAAGGAACTTAACACTTGAGCAATCTAAAAGAAATATCTTCTATGATCTTCAATGATCTTCAATGATTTCGTAAGTGTTGCATTATAACGGAAAGTCACATTTATGTGTTAGAGATGAGACGAATCCCAGAAAACATCACTTGGTCATCTGTTTATTTCTG